ACGAGAATAGTCACCAAGTCACCGCACAGGCCAAAGCGACACGCCAGTGCCCACAGCAGCGGAAGGCAGCAGGAGGCCGGCAACAGGCCGGGTTTCCCGACAGTAGGAGGCAAACGAAAAGCCCCGGCCGGGGTACACTTTCTACGAAGCCACGCAGGCTGGACGCAGCAGGAGACGCTGGAGATGGAGTCTGTTGGAGCGGCAACTCTCGTGCGCTGCCCCTGCTGCACACGCACCGTCCTGGACAAGCCTTTCCCCAGCAACAGCGAGCGGGCGCGGGCGGCGCACCGCAGGCAGGCAGGCGCGGGGGGCCGCGGCAGCAGCAGGGCAGCAGCGCGGCAGCCTCAGCAGAGCTAATTCTGGCCGCCTTTGGCCCGGCTTACATCATCCTTATCGCACTTTCCCTGCCCGATTGCAGGGCGCTATGCGTCCGAGACCTTCGCAATTGGCGGAGACATGGGATCGGCTGTAGTATTGGGGTCAGTGAGGCCGAGATCTGACTCCGCGACCACGATCCCGCGTCCGCCGCCACCGTCCGTAGCATAGCCTTCTGCCCCGCGGCCGAACGGCGACCTGGGCGGCGCCGTCGCTAGGCCGCACCTTGCCACCACGGCGACCGCCTGCCGCATGCGGAGGGGCCTCTGCCTGCGACCAGGACCAGCAACACCGCTTCTGGGAAAGTGCTAAGCGGGTGCATCATGTCCGCGGTACAGTGCCGTGCTCACGTGGCGCCGGGCGGCGGCCGGTTTGGGGCCGGCACCGGCACGCCCAGAAAGAGAGGCACGTCTCGAGCCCCGGCCGCGCTCTCGTCGTCGTCGTTGTTTATAAACATGAGCCGGCCGTCCGTCCCGACCGCGTCCTTGGGGCCTAACTCTCCTAGCTCGTCTAGCACGGGCGGCCCGCGGCGGCGGCAGCGGCGCTTCGTGGAACGCAGAGAGGCGCGACGCGTCCAGCGCGCGGCAGCAGCGGCGAGGAAGACTCAACTGGAATGGAAATTCTGCCAAGTCTCGGAATTCTCCACGTTCCCCAAGCAGAGCGCGGAGGCGACCGCGTGCCAGGTCATGTGCCAAGGCGGAGCGGAACTTGCAGCCTTCCGCCAACGAGTGACGGACCAGCCAGCCGGGACCACTACCGGTGCCCAGGCCGGCCGCCCTTTCTGGTGCTCGAGATTCTCTCTTTCAGCTTTTTCAAAGAAAAAGATTTCTAGTGATATCACTCCACATGGTGCCCGCGAGGCTCCCGCGGCACGTGAGTCAATGCCCCGCCCCGCCCCGCCCATTCAGCACATCGCCGCTAATCGGGCGCAACGAAGCGTCCCAATCAAAGGCGACGGGTCGCGCCGGGGCGAGGCCGGCACAGGGTCGGGGGTTGGCGTGTTCAAAACGCCCCACGTGACCTGGCGCGGCGCGCAGCAACGGACGCACCTTCAAAGTCGAGCGAAACCCCTTACGCGACGCGCGCGAGCCACGCAGCCGCGCTATGCTATGCGGCACATGGTGCTTACGTCGGCCCGACTGTGGGTGGGGCGCCTACCCGCCCCGCCAAACGCTCAACCAGAGAAACAA